ACAAACGTCGCCTAAAGTAATTGATTTTACCCGGCAGAATGAAAGAAGGAAACTCCACTTTTCAATCGTCTTATGGCCCTTGTTTTTTGACAAACAATGACCTTTCAGAGGTCAAATTGCTGTCAAGAATATGAATTGGCTGCTTCACAGCAATTATGAAAATAGGCCAAAGCTTTGGTTTCTTTGAAGAAATTTAGATGTTTCAAAACAACTCAATGTCGATGGGTGCTTTTGGAATAAATATATAAATATTGCTCTTAGAGTATTTTATAAAAATGGTCAGATGCATAAAGACAAATTTCCATTTGCAGTTTACACTGTACTTTCTCTACATTGTATGATTCACTAGTTTCAGTTGTTGATGAACAAACAAGGCAATTAGAAGGACTTCAGAATTAAGCAGGTATGAAACCAGGAACTGTGTTAGAATGTATTCCAAATGAGGACCAAATTTGTGGATATCACAATAAATAAATTGCTATCAACAAAAACTTTAGGTTTGACTTGGGATACTGAATCAGATAAATTTCAATTTATATGTCCTGCTAAATCCAGTAAATTGGAAAGCCTAACCAAACTAATTGTATTAAGTCAGCACTCATCAGTGTTCGACCCTCTTGGGTTTGTATCGCCTGTTATAATATCAGCTAACTTTTAATACAGTGAATTTTCGACTTGAGTGGGATCAACCCCTTGATGGGGATTTGGAGTTAGAAATTAGAGAGTGGGCTACAAAATTTAGAACGTTTGGACAAAATTGAAATTGATATGTCTGTCAAAATGGGGGAAAAGACCTACAATTGCATGTATTTTGTGACTCTTCAAGTGATGCTTATGCAGCTGTGATATTTGTAACAAAGTCTCAGTGCAATTTGTAGCTTCTTAAACCAAGGTAGCCCCTTTAAAAGCTACAAGCATACCTAGATTGGAGCTACTAGCAGCTATGTTAGGACTAAAACTGGCAAAATCTGTAACAAGGGTATTGGCCATAGACTTCAACATGTACAATTTTAGTCTGACAGTATGAACATGATGGTGGGTCAGGGGAAGAAGTAGGAACATTAAGCCATTTGTTGCCAATAGGGTAGGTGAAATTCAAAGTGTGACTAACCAAAGCCAATGGAGGTACGTGCCCACCAAAATAAATTCTGCTGATGTTGCATCATAATAAATATAATAATTATGGACTTATATAGCGCCTCACGTTGACACAACCTCGAGGCGCTTAAGGGGATGTTCTGCTTTTGACTTAAGGCAGGGACCAGCATTTTACAGTTGTCAGTAGAGAAATGGCCAGAAAACAATTTTTGACTTAAAAAGGCAAAGGAAAAGTACAGACCCAATGATACCTGCCTTTTTACATGCTTAACTACTAGAAACTGATACTTTTTATAGATTTAGTAGTATAGGTCAGCCTAAGCCAGATCTCAGGAAATGTGTATGTGTCAAGAATTTGCCCACAGCTTGATAACAAAGTTGCAAATCACTGAGTGCAAAAAGTAAATGCCACCCTGAAATTGTTGTATGGACAAAACTTACTGACAACAACTACACTTTTCTGAATCAAAATGAGACTGACCAAACTAGTTCCACATCACACGGCCTCCACCTCAACAAACCAGAGCCTTGCAGGCGTCAACGTTCCTATGCATGATACATGACTTAACCAGCCATTTTCTGATTAAGTCATCATAAATGACATAATCAGAAAATATGGTTGGGTCAAATTTGTGTGGTGGTTGAAAAATTCAGGGGGGAGTCTTTATGGCCCAAAATAGCGCATTATAAATATTTTATTATTATTATTAATATTAGGCTCTAGGCTAGGCCGAGCCTAGCTGCCGTCACTCTGCTACGTATATACTACTGTATAACAAAGAAATCTACCACACGGTGCATTCTTAAATTTTACACACATTATTTAGATGTAATTTACGTATTAGACAATAACACGATATCATTGATTAAACGATCTACCACCCTCGCATCGCAGTAACTACTGTACTATAAACTAGGCCTAGGCCTCATGTTTTTGTGGAAAGTCTAGCTAGATAGTTGTTATGTACCTGACAGTCGGCTGCCTTTATATCTTTATTTGTCTTCAGTTTGCATTCAAAGGGTACACTGCTGCATAGCCAACTGTCGGTAATATAGTACTTCATATGACTACTCATACAACAGAAAAAAACGTTGCATGGAGGTAATAAAAAAAAGATCTAAATGAAAAAACGATGTATTTCAGCAAGTATTAAAACCTTTTTTTTATTTTAGGCCTTCTTCAAAATGGCTATGCCTACAGCAGTTGATTTTTTTCCCCCGCAAAACCAAAATAGTCTCATCCATGCCGACTTGCCAATCGGTTAGCATGAGCCCTGACTAAACACTGCAGAAACTTCACATCGAACTTCGCATCGCGAGGAAAAACAAAATGTCAGAAAACTTTTTTTTTCACGCATGCGCATTTTCACACACGCACACTACACACAGGAAAAACAGTGAAAAGTGATTACAAGTTCCTATTGCATACATGCATAGGAACTAAAAAAGGAACAATCAAACTACTGAAAAGAATAAAGTAATTCGTATATTACTGTCACTCAGGAGATAAAGTAGCTCATCTTCACTTAATTAAGATTACCATTGTCATGAGAGTAGACAAACATCACAAGTCTGCAGACACATGGTAAGCTAATCAACTGCTGGCAATGTAACCAAAAGAGGGGCATAAGCACAAACTTTGAGAATATTATAATACCCATCAATGAAAGCCTGGCTATGATGAAGACGCTAAGGAAGGTACACCAAACATGGAAAGAATGACCATAAATGAAAATGACATAGGGGACATTCAAGTGTGGACTCTAGTTTTGATGACCTTAATTTATTCACTGAAAAATGTAAAATATTCGATGATAAATGATCAAACATAGAAGGTCTTAACATCACAACTCTCCCTGGTAAGTTTGATGAGTTATTTCTCTTCATATTTAGTGAAATTTTAACAAAATTGACATTTTTGTACTAAATGCATAGTTACAAACAGTCCCGCATTTCAAAGTGATTTACGATGTAACACGCATTTTCCAAAAAAACATGAATAGTAAGAAATTTGTCACACATTTAGTACAAGTCTAGTTAGTTATTAAAAATATAAAATGGTCATGCAGTAACTTGAATCATTAGAGAGCTTTGGAGCTGAAAGCCTTGGAGGCACGCGCAATCTTGCACATTCATTGTCACAAACAACTGTTGATTATGTGACTGTACTGCAGAGCTGTCAGTTAGCATCAAACACATGCATGCAGTAAGCTAAGTACAGTATTTACGTGAACTGAATACTTAATTCACTGACACGTTACTAAAAATTGATCAGTATGGTTCTGGTTATGGTGGGTAAAGCAACCTCCTAAGGCCCATGTGAAAAATTTAAATTAAAAACAAATAATAAAATTAAAATAAATCCCGGCAAAATTTCACTAAATATGAATTTTTAAAGATAAAATAATATGCATTATTCTAATTATCATAAACCATGGAAATATATTGGCATAAATTTCAGTTTTAAGCAAAAGTCTTATTTTAAATTTTTTTCATATTTAAGAATTTTTTCTAAACTCAGTTAAACTAGCAATTTTGTATTTTATTTATAAATCTTTATATAACATATAAAACTCAGATTTTTCGTAACAACTTAAATTTTGCCGGGAATGGGGCTTCAATTATGTTTATTATATATTTTTAATGATAACGTTTATTATACACCGAATTAAATATCTTATTGCTTTAACCAACTAGGGTGCGAACAGAATATTGATAATTATGTATTCTTTGCTTAAAGTTACTGAATTTTTTACCATATATTGTTGTGTAGTATAACAAAAATTAGAATTTGAAATTACCAAAAACATTACAATGAGTTGCTTAATTACTGGTACTCAGATATTATCTTTGTCCCGTGAGAACAAGTAAAAAACAATTTCGGCCCTTTAAACAAATTAATTAAGCCCTTGGCAATGAGAAATTTTGTCCGCAAGAAAGCAGTTGCATATTAGCCTGCAATAAAACAGTTGATGTTAGCCTGCAGTAAAGCATGGTTGATGTTAGCCTGCAAGAAATCAGTGCTTTTTTTAAACCTGCAATGTAAAGAAGAGTTGTTAATCAGTAACAATTAAGCAGAAATAAATGATTTCAAATTTATAGTTTCGTTAACGATGTGAAAAGTTTGTTGTAAAACTTACTCAACAACACCCAACGCACATGTCTCGAATGTATTGAAATAAAAACTATTTAAAAAAATCATAGCAACTTTCTGGTTACCCGTATCATTTAATAGTAGCAAATGAAAACACTGTAATTTTAATTTATAACAGTATTACTTGGTATAATCAGGGAAACCTGTAAATTAACTCTTCCCTGGTATAATAAAGTTTCACCTTCCTGTGCAACCACTTCTCGTAAGCAATCACTTCCCTTAACATCCACTTTCATATGGTCCCATTTGTTCTCCCTATCTAATCATTGCATTTGATACCTCTCATAAACCACCACTTCTCGTAAGTGGCTGCGACCACTTTATGACTTTTGGATTTTTAAAACAATTTACCTCCTGTATGCAACCAACTTAAAAGTCTGTAGGCCTAATATCTTTCGACAACAAATACAAGTCGAACCGGAAATTAAACACAGCGATGGTACAACGTTAGCTGCATCAAATACTATAGGCTTAATAAGCAACAACTATGTTAAAGAAAAAAATATAAAATCGATAGATAAATAGGCCTACGGCTTCTCACGTAAAATGCTTGCAGTAAAAGAACATGCCTGCTATTAGGACCTATTTAGGCTGCATTTTTTTAGAGGTTCTACAACGTGGTGAAACCTCTCAATTCTATCTATCATGTAAAATAAGGCAAAATTTTCAGGTGCTTTCTGTCCCTACACTCTGTGTAAACTACTCCAAATTGCTTGGAAACTAAAGATTTAGATTTTTGTTTCCTTACCTTAGAATTCTTCTTTAAGCTTTCTCTCATCTGCATAGCAATAAATTCTGTATCACTTTCTCCTGTACGAGGACCCAGTGAACCTCGGCCAAAACGTTCTTTATCTTGCTTGCGTTTCTTCTAAAAATATAACAAACACTATATATTTCCTTATTCTGTGTAGTTATACATTTCCAATTTAATTACCCTACATTCGAATAAACACCCCGGGGCTTTTATTGTTGAGAAGGGTTTTTGAGAAGGCGTTAAAGGCGTCAGTGTTGTTTTTCATAATTTTACACTTTAGCAATATTAACATAACATTATTATCCATTTTTTCTGATAACTGGGTCTATTCACAAATTAATCATTTCAATTACCAGGTTTTTTTTATAAAATGTTGAAGAAACAAGATGAATTCTCCTGTCTAAGCCCTTATGATTTCAAGGCTAATTTTATATTGTGAAGGACATAAGTTTTATCAAATTGTGGGTCATTTATATAATTTTGTTATAATGTATAAAATCACAAAAATAATGGGACGAGATATTTTGTAAGAAACAAAATATGCATGACATACACGATCTGCCTTGAATAACTGTAACCCTCGGTCATTCTTTGAATTGCCATCTGACCATAATTGTTTCTCTTTAAGATGAGCACTCCCATTACTACGATGTCTCCTCTAAAAATCAAGATCACAAAAAAATTATGTCGTCATTAAACTTTTAGGAAATTTGAAAATATGTTATGTCATCATACTGTTGAAATACATTTAGACATTGTTTTAACTTGCATTATATCCAGCGTCATATCATTTTAACTTCATTTAATACCCTCCCTTTATTAAAGACACATGGCCGGCAGAACCGGGGGAGGGGAGGGGGTCCCCTTAACCATTTTTGGCTGAAAATATATAATGTCTATGTAGTTTTAGTACGATCTGCTCCCTCGCAATTCAAGTATCGATTCATATTCCCATTCATAGCGGAGGAGGACCCCCCCCCCCACTTTGAAAAACGTTCCGCCGGCCCTTTGGCATACTGAAAAACCAGTGGGTTTAATCCATCTCAAAAAGAAGCCTATGAACTTCTAATCAAAATAACATGGGATACTTTCAACATGCATTGTAGTGCAATAAATGTCGAAGAAATGTCGAAGAAATAAAACTAATCAATTAAAAAAACACTTTGATTATAGCCTTGGTATTCGAAGGACAGAAATATTACCTGGGTTAAGCATTAGAGCTGGGCAAAAACTGGGTGCTCTAATCGACTTGCTAACTTGAAATCCACGGCATGATATTTCTTTAAGGAACCCTATCCTTATAGCGATTTAAATGCAGAACCAACATAAATCCTAACTTAGCCATTCTATTCTTGCTAAAGTGTTTACTACCAAAAATGCACAAGCAGAGTCTTAAGGAATTGAGTGATACAAACACTATTTCAAATTTTAATAGCTTATTTTCATCTTCTATACAACACATATCAACAGTCCTCTTTTTTATTTACAGTATTCTGTTACCCCTAGTAAATTGGTGTGCTAGGCATCACATAACTGTCAACTCCACTAACCCTCACCTTGAAGAATGGGGTAAAACACTTGTGAAAGGGAAACCTAATATGCATAGCTCCATGTAGTCTAAAAATTTATGTAGAAAATAGTGGCACAAATGAAAAATTTACACAAATCTACAGCTTTGCAATAAAGATTTTAAAATTCAAACTGATCATTATTATTAAGTGTCTACATCACTTACACTAGGACGTTCAAAGTCAGACACATCTCCATTTGGCACTGCTTTCTTCAGAGACTTCCCAGATTCCTTTGGATAAGGATTAGGTGACTTTTTGCTCACCTGTGACTTTTATAGGGAATGAGAAAAAAAAATACATTTGATTATTTTAATAAGATTAATATTGGTTAATATTTCTTGCTCCATTTGTGATCAGGTTATATCTCATCTAGTATTTTCATGTAGTTACCATTTAATGGTTTAAAATTTTTTATGTAAGCTTAGAGTTGGAAGCATGTGGCACAGCGTGTAAGGCGTTGGACTTTTGATCGCGAAATCGGAAGTTCAAGACTATGGCGCTCATTACATTGCTTGTGTCCTTAGGTAAGATACTTTACCTACGTTTGCCTCTCTCCACCCAGGAGTACAAGTGGGTACCTGGTAGGTTCGACCACAACTGCGCTGAGTACTAGCTGCATTATTATGGAATTCTCCTCACAGAGCTGAGTATGTGTTCAAATGACCAGGGTAATAACGTGAAGCACTTAGAGGCTTTAGGCATGAAGCACTATATAAGACCGACATATATTATTATTATTATTATTATTATTATTATTATAAGTCATTAAATAAATAAGATTTAATTAATATTATATTGTACAGGCGGAGTAATATGGTTTAGGTCAGAGGTCATGCCTTTCAGTTAGAGAGTGTATCCTAGCTACGAGACGCTCTCTGACAATTAATATGGCCCCAGTTCAGACAAGAGGTGAGTCTCTCGTTTGGTTTGGTTTGGTTAAATTTATCCCACCTCCACCCCCTTTTACTCCGCCTATTTAATTATTGATTAGTATGTAGTTAGTGGGGTGTTTTGTTTTCCCCCATATTGGGCCCAGTTTGGGGCAAATTGTTATTGATTACTTGTGAAATAAACGGCCATAGAAACCCACTACTGCGTTTGTTGTTTCTATGTCTGGTTCCTTCCTGGCCCCAACCGAGTTCAACAAGCCGAAGTCTAATATTATTATTATTATTATTATTATCAGAGTTGGTAGAAAAATATGCATGGTGGCTAATTTGTTAGCCTTAAGAGCTCAAGAATGTTTGTATTTTGAGATTTTAATTAATTTTGTCATTTCACAAACTGTTCTCTCTGAATTTAGAATTGGTCTGCTAGGCCTAATTTTAACCCGAATGTGGCAATAACCCCAGCATAATCCTGCATGATATATCTTTATTACAGCTCTAAATGGTTTATTTATCTATAGGAAATATTTTTATAACATACAGCCTTGAGAACAGGTGGCAAACATGTTAATGCTATATTTTGTAAGATGCCTGAAAATTTAATTTAAAAAAATAAATAATACCAAAGAACTTAAATAGCAGAAGAATGAGCTGTTCCGCGTATTTGCATTAAAATCGATGGAACATCCACCCTCCTGCGGATGCAGTAAAAAACATTTTACTAAGTGGAGAAACTACAGGAAACAAACAAGAACAAGAGCGGTGCCTTTATTACTACTATATAGCGCTGCCGCACGGATGCAGTAAAATTTTTCTCCGTGTACCCACAATGCATTTCGACCGGATGTTCCACTATTTTGGGAAGCTGCTCTATCTTCTGCTATTTATTATCTTTGATAATACTCACCTATTTGAACTTTTATTCATTTTTAAACATTTATGTATGTGTGTTTAATCAGAAAACATTTTTTGAAAAATACTTTTATGAAATAATTCCAAACGATCAGAAGACCTTGATTAATTACCTAGACTTTCTTGAAATTATTTAGGATATTAATCTTTCTAAATACCTGATTATCTAGCTCAGCAACATCAAATGCTATCTTCATGTTTGACAGACGTTTTTGTTCCCAGATGGAAGCATGGAAACTCTCTGCATCACTCTGATAAATATCTAAACACAGAAATATTATTAATTAATTCATCATACATAAATAGTATGAATTGTTAAGAATTAAAAACAAGAAGCTCTCTTATAAATATCTGAAGTACATACTACAAGTATGCCCGAGGACTTTTATTCAATAAATAGGCCTCCAGCAATTTTAACATAATAAAACATAAATACAAATTAAGTGAGGGTTTCTAAGTATATATTTCTATAATTATAGGCTGTACATACTTTAATAAATTATTGACAATATTTACATCTTTACATGGCACTAAATGAAAGAACTGAAATATTAAATTATTTTTGTTAACAAAATATGGTAGAAATTTTTTTTCTAATTTCAGTAAAAAATGGACAAACTATTAAAACAAAATTATATTCGTCTTCTATTTTATCTAAGAAGATACAGTAACAAGCAACTAGAAATGCTCCTTTTATGCTCCGCAGTAAAAGCAACCTCCCCACATTGTCATTGAGAATTGATGAGTAGTAATATGTAGTTTGAAACCAGCCAATACCAAACTTGAATTATCGTGGTAAAAAACCATTTTCTACACCAGTGACAATGACAACAACACAAAGAATATTACAATTTCAACTAAATTAAAAGTTTTTAACAGGTTTTTTTTTTTTTCCATTTCCATCACATGTTATAGTAAATTTCCTCATTAATGAAATATTAATTACGCAATTAGCATAATCACACACGTACAAAAAGCAATACTGTAGGCTCTGTCTGCTTATCATCATCTTGGTTTCTGTGAAGTTTGAAACCAATCAGACTTACCAAACTTTAGCTATAGCGTAAACATTAATTACGCAAATGAGCAATCAGCATGTTCACAAACATACCAAAACAAAAGATTGTAGCTTTTATCACCATATTGCATTGTGCAAAGTTTAAAACCAATCAGACTTTACCAAACTATATTTATAAGTAAAATATTAACTAGATTTGAACTCGTCACTGAGGACGAGTTAGGTGATCCGCCGCAATTTGACCCTCGAGGAAGTGTATGCGGTGCAGATTGAACAATTTTTAAATGCTGAAAATGGACCAAAGTATACGCTAATTCATTTTTTTAAAAGAATTTGAAGCATTTTAAAAGATTTACTTAGGCGTATGCGCACGCCATGATGCACGAGCGCATGGTAATGTCAAAAAATGTTCACTCATGAGATATATGTATCAACTCTCATTGACAAACGCCTATTGGTGGGTCATTATGATCTATAAAATCATATTTACAACTTATGTGCTTTGAGAATATGTAATAAAAATTGGGGATACCTTTCATCCTAAGGAGCTATAACTGATTAAAAATAGGCCTGATTTTAGCATATTTTCACTGTATAGCAGCACAAATCCGCGCAAAGATACTTATGTTTGATGCGCACATACGGCATTGCTATTGGCCAAAAGATGACCAAAAAGAATGGAAATTTGCGAAAACAATGTCAGGAACACAAACTATGTGAAAAAACATAATGTCTACCTTCCGTACGTGCTGCGCGTGTAAAAATGCGTGCGCGTAGTGGAAAATTCCAAAAAAATTTCGAAATGCTCAAAATGGCCTGAAACATGCTCTAATTTAGTCAAAAAGTGATTTTGAGCATTTAAAAAATTAAGCGCACGTGTAAAATTAAGGTACAGTACATTCAACATTAACCCAAAGTTAATGCTCACTTAATACGATTTTGAAATGGCAATTGGTTAGGCTGATATGATCGATAATGTAAAAACGCAAAATTGCGCAAACTGCGCACTTTGAAAACCTTATAGTGACTATTCCAGGCCGAGCTAAATGTTTGTTGAAGCATGCATGTATAAATCTCGTGCCAATTTTTAGATATTGTGCTAACAAGAAATGGGGAGAAGCTAGAATAAAAAAAAAAAGATCTCGGACAATAACAAGAGCTGATCACCAATTAAGCAAATGAGCAATTAGCATATTCACACATGTACCAAACACAATAGGCACAGCTTCTTATTAATCTTACAATTAGTGCAACCTAAAACAACCTCTCGTCTGTAAGTTAGACAGATCTATGAACAAAATGAAAACAAATAATTTTACCTTCTTCTGGAGCCTTAGGTTGTTGGGGAAACAAGAAACATGTTAACACCTTGTAGCCTCTCTCTGGTAGAATGTCAGATTGCAGTTGTAGAAGAGGTTTAGACTGAAATGTTTTTTTAAAATACATATCTTTTTAATTCATATTATGACTAACAAGAAACCAGGAAGGAGAAATAAAATAATTTCATGGCACAAGGATGAGTAATTTGAGAGTATATTTTTAATCAAATAGTATTTTTAAACAAAGTCATTAAAGAATAATATATTTCGTAAGTACTAAATTTTAAAAATAGGATATTCGGAACATGATTCAGCTCACCCTCCAATTCGAGACCACCTTTGGGACCTGAAGATTGTGGGTCTCTGGGTTTGTTCTACACACAGGGGGTAAGCTTAGTGTTAATAGATTGAAGACTGATTATTTAATTCTTTAAAAATGTTGTCTCGAATTAGAGTGGTCTTAAATTGGGGAATGCACTATGTATACATAAACTACCTTAAACATAACATTTTAATACAGAATTAATAATCAATATTATCTTAATTAATATTTAAATATAAAAATTAAAAGGATTTCTGACCTGGTTTTCAGCCAACCACAAGGCTTGAATGGCTTTCAACTTGGTGAAGCTGAATGGCAGGTAGAGTAGGCGATTATCACTCAAGTTAAGTACTGTCATACGTGACAAACGTCCTAGCTCATCTGGTACAGTTTTCAACCGGTTAGAACGTAAAGATAGCACAGTGATATGACCACAGCTACCCAACTAAAAAACAAGATAAGTGACGTCACATTATTCTCAGGTAATGATGAGGCAGCACTTGTGAGACTAACTCTAAAGATGTAATTATATTAGACACAAGCTTTCACTGGCAGTCAACGCCAGCTGCATCAGGAATAAAAGTAGACAGAATCACTCTAATAGTTAACTAGATTTGAACTCGTCACTGAGGACGAGTTTGGTAATCCGCCATACTTTGACCCTCACGAAGCATGAGCGGTGCTGATTGAAAATTATTATATGCTAAAACATGCTCTATTTAGTTTTTAAAAAGAGTAATTTTGAGCATTTTTAATGACTTACGAATGTGTACACATACGTCTTAATGTCCATGTGCACGGTAATGATATTAAGTTGATATAAATGATATAAGTTTTGGAATACTGAAAATGACCTGAAACGTGCATTAAATTATCTGAAAAGTGATATTAACAATTTTAAAATTTTAACGCACAAGTATGAATACCTTATACGACGTGCCTGAAGACGATAATGGCACATGAATTTAAACCTTGTCAAGTTTAATTTAAAACCCCCTGTTGGTTGGTAATGCCACACGAATTTTCCCTTTACAGTATACGAACTATCGGTCTGATAGCGTCGAAATACCGTCTGCCGCCCTCTATTTTAAAATTGTTTACATCTTTTAAGAAAGAAAGATGAGAAGGCTCCAAAAAAGCATTCTTTTTTACCATGATGACATCATCAAAATGAAAAATAAAGGGACACTTCCGAAAGAGAATTGTCTCAGCTATAACATACTCACAGGTGGAAGACAATCGATCAAGAATAAGCAAGATACGTTCAAATAAGTTGAAAAATAATGACGTCATAAATAAAATTTCAGTTTTTTAAAAATTAGATAGCAATATGATGATGTCACAATGTCCGATCAGCCATAATGATCTATAAAATCATATCTACAATTCATGTGCTTTCAGAATATGTAATAAAAATTAGGGGTTAACCCCTAATTTTTATTACATATTTTCTTCCTAAGGAGCTATAACTGATTAAAAGTAGGCATAATTTTAAGTATACATAATTGTTGACATTCAACCTTGACCTGAAGATTTTGCTCACCTAGATTCAGAAATGACGAATGGTTAAGATGATATGGGCTCATCAACGTTTTGAGGAAAGAAAGATGTGAGGGGTCAGAAAAAACAATTTTTTTGACCATGATGACATCATCAAAATGTAAAAAGAGGTCACATATATGAAAGAGAATTGTCTCAGCTATAACATACTCAAAGTTGGAAGACGATTGATCAAGGATAAGCAAGATACGCTCAAATGCGTATTCTCAAAAATGACTTCATTTCTATAATTCGCTTTCTTTGAATTCAGATGCCAATACGATGACGTCACAATGTCCGATCAGCCATTATGATCTATAAAATCATATTTACAACTTATGTGCTTTCAGAATATGTAATAAAAATTGGGAGTCACCTTTCATCCTAATGAGCTACAACTGATTAAATATAGGACTTATTTTATTAAAATTTCACTGTATATCGGCACAAATGCGCACAAAGTTCCCTATGTTTGATGCGTGCGTATGGCATTGTTATTGGCCATAAAGTGATTGAAGAGATCGGAAACTTGTAAAAACAATGTCAGGGAAGCCATAATGTGACAAAAAAAACTTAATTTCTAGCTTCCGTACGTGCTGCGCGTGTAAAAATGCGCACACGTAGTGGTAAATTAAAAAAAATTTTGAAATGCTCAAAATGGCGTGTAACATGCTCTAATTTAGTCAACAAGTTATTTCGAGCATTTTGAAATTTTGGCGCACGCGTACGCACACGTTACGAAACACACTGGTAAAATTAGGGTACAGTACATTTAACATTGACCCGAAGTTAATGCTCACTTAATACGATTTTAAAATAGCAAATGGTTAGGCTGATATGATTGATAATGTAAAAAACGCAAAATTGCGCATAGCCGACGTCACGCATGACTGGTCACCTTGAAAACCTTACCGTGACTATTCCAGGGGAATCCAAAATGATCGATGAAATGACCGTGTGCATAACTCGTAGCAATTTTGAGATATCGTGCGAACAGAAATGGGGAGAAAGAAAAAAAAGATGATCCAGACAATTACAATAGGTGATCCGCACTAGTTGCGGATCACCAACAAGAGGTGATCCGCACTAGATGCGGATCACCAATTATAATTATGTCACAGAATGACCCTAATGGTTATATAACAAAAACAGAACTCCACACCCAATTTGGTTCTGAAAGTGATCATTAAAGTTATCAATATTTGTTCAGACTAACACAGCTACAAATACTCTTAACATTATTCCCGAGGTTGATACCAACATTGATGTAACAAAAATAGCCAGGATGGCATTGATAAAGTTGAGTTTGCAATTGGTATATTTATAGATCTAAGTCTTTAAATATGACTGATCATACACTGGTGTTTCAAAAACATAGAAAGTTATGGTGTCAGCAGTACAGTTTTGAACTGGTTTAAGAGTCTGCAGAAGAAGACAAGTATTCTATAGCCCCTAAAAATAATAAGACTCTGATGAACCTAATACTAAAACTGAAAATTGATAAGTTAATGAATGGTACAAAATGTAATAAATTGTCACTGAATGTTAAAAAAAAAACTAACTTCATGATCTTTCAAAGCATAAAGTAAAAAATATACAATGATTCTGTAAAATCCTATTGATGACTAAATGTATTGAATCAAATTTAACTCCTGTATTAAAATCTTTTGGGGCTTAAGACACTCATAATTAAACATCATAACTTGACAATGATCATATAAAGAACGAAACGTAGAATAAATTATGGTCTCACGTCTGTCATTGTCAGAGTTACCATACTCATATTCTATCTGCGTATACTGCAATCAGTGGACTCTTTGGTTTTTAAACATCTTAACATTTTGGCCATGAGCATACATATCTTACCTGTAATAAGAATACAACAGAATAAAAAATTTGGGAAGCGGGATATAGTAAACCTTCTTACCTCTGGTGGAATGTAGGCCAGAAGATTCTCATCAACGTTGAGATGACTAAGCTGTCGAAGAAGACCAATGCTTGGTGGTAGTTCCTCCAGATCATTGCAGCTCAGAATAAGCTCCTCAATGGAAACGAGACCACCAATTGAGAATGGTAAAAATGCAAGCTCATTTTCATCCACTTTCAATGTTTTTAGACGACTCAATTTGCCTATATTTATTAAAATGTAAGTGAAAATTTGGTAACTAAAAGATTTTAAGGCTATTTGAGATTGAAGCCTGTAGAGGAAAAAACATTTTTGATATGTTGTAGAACTGATTTTTCTAAGACACAAAATGGGTGTTTTACAAAAAACTTATTAAGAGTATGTAACATACACATTTTTTGATATTTAAAAACTGGAGAGGGGGGGGGAAGAAAGGGGAATGTAGTCACCCTTTTTTCATTGGTTCGCAGCTTTTTCGTACACTTTTGGTAAAGCACCTTTTTCTTAGCAAAGAAAACGCCAGCGCTATTTTTAACATCCGATTCCAGACCTAGTTTTGTCTACAGAGCGGCGTACAAAGCAAATTTCAATGGTGATTCTTTAATTTTCTTGCTATAGTGTGTGATTCTTTATCTAACATTTGTGTTGTCCCAGTTGCGAATATGATTTTCAGCAATAACATGATCTGCAATGACCGATTTGTGGGTGATAGAGGACTGAGAGTTCCTTGATGCTCTGGTTGTAACTCCTAGTATATAACCATTTTCATGTCTTAGAAAAATTAGTTGTACAACATACTGCATCAAAAAAATTTTCCTCCGCAGCCTGGCTTTGAACAAATCTACAATTGTTTCTAAGTTACCAGAACCAAATATTGATATGATAGCCAAAAAAAAAAATATTCCTTTTAAATTTTTATTTTCTTGCATTTTCATACAAATTATGTATTGTCTGTGCATTTTAACGTTAAAATGAATGCCTAGATAAATAAATGTTACAATCTGGACCACACCCCATTGACTGCATTTGCAGTAGACAAGTTACAAGACAGACCACTGTAAACTGCAATGTTGAAGATTACATTTAAAGTAAAGAGGTACAAGCAAATTGTAGAGATGCTGATTAAATTTACAAGATGAATAGGCTCACCTCAAATTAAAATTGCAAATAAAATTAGAATCATACCCATGTTTTCTGGAAGTTCCTGTAGATAATTCTTTGAGAGGTGAAGGTCTGTAAGGGACTCCCAGTTCTCAATGTCTGCTGGTAGATACTCCAGACGGTTTGAGGAAGCATCAAAGAAGACAAGGCGTGTTAGGCCTCCAAGACCCTGAAGGAAAGATGTAGAATAAATGCCATGCATTGTTTTATGTTTGTTTGCTTTTCAGACATCATTATTCAGTAAAACACCTAAATTAAATTATGAACTCAAATACAAATAGATTCAATTCCACTCTAAAGCCCAATTTCACTAAAAGCTAGAAATATTCATTGTTTTATTTAGCCTTTATTCGCTGTCTTCTTACATATTGTCAATTGCATACAGACTGTTTATTTGCGCTATATAAATCCATTTATTTATATTATTAAGGGTTTGTTCTCATTTCGCCTGTATAACTATTACCACTTTCATTAAAATAAAAAAGCACAATTTGGACCTTACTTATACAGTAAACCATACAAACTCTCCCCATGAACCTTACTAGGGATATTCATTTCGTGAAACTGACAATTTTTTTCTAGCCTTTGTTGTTGGCTTATTTTAGATTGTGTTAATTATTAAATTAAATATATGAAATATTTGAAGAGGTATTCAGTTCAGTACTGTTTCTGGTATCAACATTGATATTTTCAACTTTGTTATGCTAGCACAGATATTATGTTCATGACACTAAAATATAAATATACTACTGTTTTATCTATTTTGAATAAACCAATCTTTGTCGTTGAAGTCTACATACTGTAGGTAGCTCTGTGATCTTATTTGCATCAATCCACAGTTCTGTTAACTTTGTAAGGTCTCCAACTTCTTTAGGCTGAAAGGGAAATATAGCACATACAAATTAAAATGCAATGTACAGATATACTATATTTCCTATTGAAATACAATTTTTTTCATATTTTATTACAATAAAAGAAAACATGTAAATGGCACCATTTTCTTATTTTAATAAAAGTTCATACAGTACAAATTTCATATAATAAATTTGATTCAGTAATCAGTATTACCATTACATGTAATTGATGTAATTTGAATCATTATATTCAATATATAATTACAGTATCACCACTGTGCAGTTATTTACACAAAAATCAAATATTTAAAAGAGCCCCTGGACTCCACCATAAAATAATTTGTTGCTGTAGATGTTGGAAAGTTGGTGAGCTGATTCGTCTCTTTTCATAAAGTTTTCTTTTTTATCTAAATACTCTTCTGTTGCCATAGTGTTACTCCTTGTTTTACTTTCCTTTGTCCTAATCAGATACACCTATATGGTTTTGTTTTAATATATGGTCTATTAATAGCTGATTTAAGAATTTCAATTCCAATTGGAAAGCCAATATTTCCTTTGTTGATTCTCCTTTTTGTTCATTTTGTGTCATTATTTGTCCGTCTGAAAATTTCTATTTCTTTGGTGTGTTCACTTTCAATAGTAACAAGGCTGTTATATATACTGAGAAGAGTTACACTCAGAGAATGTGACTACCTGGATTGGGCCTTCAATGAAGCAAGTCAAAACAAGATTTTAAAAAAAGGAAAATCATTAAAACTAGAGGAAAGATCGGTTTTGCTATCATCAGAAGTTTATTAGAAAATGTCAGAGCAATTTTTAAAACTCACTATAATAGAAACATACTTTAAACAGACCATTATGTTACAACATAATCATATACTATACCTCATTGGCAAAAGTAATTCAATCATTATGGGAAAAAAGGAGGATCCAGGAGGCAATTTGGATAAAAGAAGGAGCTTACCAACTCTCAAACATGTACAACTCAATATCTTTCTGCGAAACCAAGGGCCCAAAAACAACCAGTTAACACAGGTGCAAGACGTCGACCTACACTAAACGACAACAGCAACATCTAAAAACAATATCCCTAGTGAATGGCTGATGAATATCTGATGTGATCAAATTGAAACATTGCAAGTGAGAAAAATTTGGTTTATCACAAAGAAATATAAATATTACATATATCACTTGAAACCAGATGAAACTATTTGAGCATTACTTAAATAATTTTCTACTTACAAGATCTCGGAATTCATTACTGCCAATATCTAGTCTTTCCAACTCTGTCAACTTGGAAATTGTCCTATCAGGAAAAACACATTCAAATTTCATTCAATATAAAAAAAATTGTGTATGTCATAAATTTAGGGATTTCCTTCACTTTCATAATTAAAAAATGGATAAGAAATAGATAAATTTTTATTCAGAAATATTTAATGTTTAGCTGCATGCTTAGCACCATACAAACATGCAATGATACATTTTTTTTTCAATTAATGGAGACATTTTCAAATTATTGCAAAAAGCTGGAGGAAATTTTTGACAATCACAATTTTCTATAGACCCGACAATAAGCTCACAAAGCCCCTACAAAATATTAATACACATGCATAATATTAGGGAAATCAGAACCGAGCTAAGTTTTGATTTTCGCTATCAGATCTGTCAAAAACACAAAACTCTGTGTTTTTCCTAAAAAATAATTTATTGGTTAAAATTCATAGGCTTACAATTTATTTCCAATTGAAAATTGTAAATTATTTGGTAGATCAAATGAAACTAGAATTACTCCCTACACTCCCCGATGTGATTTTTTTAATATGTTACAAGGGAGTGCATGTTAGCGTTTCAGTACTCATCGTGGCCTATAAAACATCAGGCTGGACTTTATGGTCAGTCAGCTAAAACAGCCATTGAAAGAGTCAAGTTTCTGTTTTAGAGAATCAAATGCATTGGAGTTAAGCTTTTCATAACACTTGTAAGGGTTCCTACAGTAATATAAACATAATAAACTATTTACTTACTTTGGTAAAGAACGAAGATGATTTTCTCGCAATTCCAACACAGTAAGCTTGGTTAGCTTGCCAAAGTTTGCTGGTAAGTATTTCAAAATAGTGTCATTCAAATACAACTGTGTTAAATTTGTTAAATGGGTGAATCCTTCTGGCAACCTGGTAATTAAAATTTAATTAAAATGAAGTTATCTTCATCAATACATACATACATGTGTACTCACATGAGGTAAATTGAGTAATTAGCATAAGAGAGTGGCAGTATTGTATACAGTACTTTAGTACAGAAAAGGACATAATACTTTTACTAATAACATTAGCAATTAGTCGGGGAGGGGGGGGGGGGGAGGGGGGGGGGGGGGCGCTACGAAATTCCGTAGGGTTTTGATGAATAGATGGTCCCACCTATTAGGTATAACTGGTTAGGTCCCAAAGAACACAAAAGAACATGTTGGCAACTTTGAAATAGCAGCAGATGTCTTCCATCTTGAATTTAAAAATGGCCGCTATTTTGGAATTAAGTGTCAATATCTTGACAACCGTATATCACAGAAACTCAAATTGCTTGCAATATATAAGTTTATATTCGCTCTAATGAAAAAGTTCATTGGAAAATAACCCGAAATGTCATTTCTGACCTTTGACCTTATGTTAATTAAATTTCTATATCTCCATTACTACTCAACACAGATTTGATTTTGGACTGAATTCATTCAGAATAATATAAATTTAAATTCACTCAAATAAAAGCTTTCCTTGGAAAATGACCGAAAATGGCATTCTAACCTTTGACCTTATGTTAATGAAATTCATATATCTCTCCTATATTACATGATCCAAATAAATTATAGTCCCCAAACTGCTGAAATGCCATTTCTTACCTTCAATTTAAAGTTTGATATTTCCATGTTTTCATAGAAACTAAGTCGTGGTTTTGGTCTCATATGGAACATTTTCAAAAAATCAAAAATTATATGAACCCCATATAGAGTACTACAGTGTTACGTCACAATACCACGTGATAATACTGTGTTGCTTTCGTTGCAAAAAGCGTTCAACCGGACGCCATTTTCTTCACTGACAAACCATTAATCCCAATTTCTAACGTAATTATTAAGATGTTGTATCTTACTTTTTCTTTGTAAATTAAATGTGTGTTCGATAACTAATATACTGTGATGTGAGCTTTTGTGTTTTTAATACATTTTGATGGTAAAATATTAAAATGCCTATTCCAGAAAGCCTACGCAGGCATTCAGGCGTAGTGAACGGTAACCAACGTCTGTTTGGCAACAGAGGACGCTGCCTGGAGTTGTGATGACATGACTGGGGTACTCTATACCTAGTTTAATGTCTACACAACTATTATAATATAAACACGGTCTAGGTCTCAATTGGTACCAAGAATATTGTTATAAATTTAAATTATCGGACAAGAAATTTTACTGATTTATGATTTTGAGGTACTGTATGTGAAGTTGGCAACCAAAATTTAATTCTAATTTCATCTTGATCTGCGTTTATCATATTGTAAAGCTGTCAGGGCAAAGATGGGCATAACAGCTTAACATAAGATTTCATCATCCGTAAATCGTCGTCGTTCTTTTAATCAAAATCATCATCATCATCATTTGTATTATCTTTGTTCTCACATTAATTCTCACAAAAGCTGCAACGATCTGTACTCGCAAGTCCATTCTTTTTCCACTTGCACCGATTGGTTTTGTATCGTGACTTTACAGCAACACTTCACAAGGTCTATAACTGCTTGTAGAGCTGGGGGAAAGTGGTGTCATAACAGCTTTAAATGTCCATGACAAGGATCTAGCCAAATTGTTGAGGGTCTGGTATAGTTGGATTTTATATGATGTTGTCATCCCCAATGGATTCCTCCTATGAACTCCAATTGTATGCAAATATTTTTAAAAAAGCATAAACAATATACCATATTCAGAATTTTCCATTTGTGGATAGAAGAAGTACATGAAAAAGAACCTCCCACCCCCATAAAAACAAATAGATGATATGTGATGAGTATAGGTTAATTTGTTTTTTTGAAACCAAAAAGATTCAGCTGTATATCAGTCTGAATAATGCTTACCATATCAAAGTTGCTTGTTATTTATGTTATCTATGATCACGAAAAGGCGCTGTGAGGTACTGGGGCGGGTCCAGATTATTTGCAGGATGAATGAAATAACAATGAAAGAATAAATGAAATAGGTTTAAATGACTTGGGGAACCGTCTTTTGTCTTGTCACCCTCGCATCTTTTTAGCGATTTTAAAGCCAACAATAATATTAGCCTGAAAATTAACTCATGAATGACCTTCCCCACACCTAAAGAAGAAATAAAAGCTGCAATTTACACATTTGCCATTTAAAAAGCACTCTAAATGGACGGATCCATGTCCAAAGGCGGGCCGAAATGGGGCCGATCGAGATAACACTATCTAAGGGGGTCCGGGGGCATGCCGCTGCGAAATTTTTGCTTTCTAGACGCCCAAAATTTCGATTGGGGCTATGTTATCAATAATAATCTGTAACAGATTATTATTGATAACATAGCCCCAATCGAAATGATCAACAGACTGTTGTATTCAATGACCGGAACCAAGACAATATGTGACTTCCACCATGAACAGCAAACAAAGTGGAGTGTACACGTCATAAGGCACAAAAATGATCACCCTTGCAAAATACTTACATTTTATACCATTAAGAACAAGAGAAAAGGTAAACCCATACCTTCAGTGCTGGATAGTGCATTCAAAACATCCGGAATGACCCGTGATCAGTTCATCAGATATTCACTTGTTAGGTTGTTGTAACTTCTTCAGCTGCATATTTGTGGTTAATATGAAATATTTCGAGTCTTTTTTGTAGGATTCGTGTAGTCAGATGCCAACAATGTTCGAGTGCCTGTGAGTGTCATAGCTAGCAAGACTTTGTCTTCTGGTGAAACGGCACAGCAGTGTCTGGCTCGTTTGCTTGGTTATACTACTGTAGTTTCTATTTTATTTCCAGTCTACTGCAGACATGTCGATAGCCACAATCGCTTCATTTCTTTTTTTTGTCTACATTTTCGGAGATATCAACTAAGGTTCTCTTAGTCAATGACGGCCACATGTTCTGCATTGCAGAATGGTCAATAATAATAATAATAATAATAATAATAATAAAAATAACTTCTGAGGCGTTTTGGTCGATCCATTTTTTAGTTTTTTTTGTTTTTTTTTACTTTCCCAAAAGAGGATCGGAGGAGGCGGCCCCGCAATCTGCCCTTGCTCTAACATTTTAAAGGTGGTGGGAGGTCCGGACGTCAGTGATCATCGCCGCCTATGGAAATAATCATTCTGTGAAGCCCAGTCGGCCAAATGCTGCAAGTACATATTCCGAACAATTTGAAACCAAAACCAAGTTTCTACAGTATGTTCAGTAGTTATGGAATATAGAAATTATTTCATTAATCATTAGCACACAGGTCAGAAATGTCATTTCTGGTCATTTCCCATGGAAAGCTTTTTATTAGAGCAAATAACAATATTCTGAACAATTTGAGTTTAAAATCAAGTCTCTATGTTGAGTAGTTATGCAGCATTTTATGGTGATAGATTATTTATATTTTCATCATCTCACCTCTGGAACAATCTTCCTGAACACGTTAAACAATCATGTAGTTTATGCATTTTCAAAAAATGTCTTAAAACTTATCTTTTCGCAATATAGACTGGCTTGTATTTTCTTTTGAGGGCCCTATCTTGGTCACCATTTCTAAGTACCTGGTAGTCTGTGGCAGGGCAAATATGTATCCTGTTCCTTTGCTCGAGTCACCTAGGTAGGGGTCTCAGTCTGGGATTATGCTAGAGTGGAGTCGGATGGTGACCCCTTTAAGATTTTGCATTTTTGTTGATCCAGTTTTATGCTTTACTTCATCTTTTTAAGTATACTTTTTTGTGTATGTGAAGCGTATAAAAGCTTTTGCATTATGCGCTATATAAATGTAAAATTATTATTATTATTATTATTATTATTATTAATGTTATTATTATTTTTATTAATATATAGAAAATTCAAAGCTGCCAACATGATTTTTGTGTTGTTTGGGATCTAAGCAACATACCAAAATAGGTATGTTGATAAGGCATTTTGCGATGCGATACTGGGTAAATCAAACGCTGAATGATATGGATACATACAAGTTGAATTTGGCCTTTAGCACATGAACGGAAAATTTCCAGCAGAGGCCAATGGGGTTTAGGTGCAGAAAAAAAATAACCTGTTGCCTAGAAAAATAATTATTAAATGTTGGTACAGCCATGCTTACAATTTTGGTATTGGCAGATAAAGTGCCTTGTCCAAAGACACGAGTGAAATGCACAGCGAGAGATTGAAACCCGACCTTGAGTTTCGGAAAACCAAACCATTCATGCTGCGCCAATCCACTCTCTGCAGCCTGCCCTTAAGTCCTTTTTAGAGAATAATGCTTTCAGATAGTACTGGTTTAAATACATACAGTGTTGGACTGAAGTTAATGTAGTCTGTTTTCAAGAATACACACCTTTCACACCACGTAAGTAGTTATTATTCTCTTGAAGACAATTGAAGCATCTCAATCGAAACGTCAAGACTTTCTCAACAACAACAGTTCTTTTCAGAACTACTTACGTGGTGTACCGCAAGCTTCAACATATATAAATACAAAGATATTGACAGAAGATGAGGTTTGAATCTCAAGAGGTAGGGCATTCCATAATGTACAGTATAGTAGGGGCGGCACATCTATAAAAAGCCATGAATACTGTCAGCAAGCCTAGCAAACCATATAAAATTAAAGGAAATGTGTGCTGTACATTTATAACATACAAATAACTTTTAGTATCAGGGGAAATAAATTCATTCTGGATTCAATACAATATTTCCCCCCCCCAAAAAAAAGAAAAAAAAGAGCAAAAAAAATTCAGAAATAACTTACAGTATATAAATTATGAACTTATGTACTTACTTCCCCAGTGGATTCACACTCAGGTCAATGACAGATAAATTCTTGCAACATTTAATGTTCTCTGGGATGGAAACAATACCTAGAGTAGCATGAAGGAGAAAATAATTAAATTGTGAAATACTAGTAACAAAAATCAATGACAATGTCTTTATACTGTATCTGGATATACACTCAATGGATGTGCTATCATTTGTCGGTGTACAACACTGGGTCCCACCTTTTTCTTACAGGTGGGGTGTGCACTCTTTTCAAGAACAGGTGTATATGGGTGCATGGTTGAAAAAAAGTTTGGCCACGCAATCTTATTCACGCATGAAAGGTGCGCCGTTTTGAATTTTAAGATGGCCAACGCACCATGTAAAACATGGTCATGTCATATATAGAAAGGTAATTATAAACTAATAACTTTTATTCACTACACCTATACCTAAAAATGCATGGTTATGGAGTTATTTGCCATTAAAAGCTGTCTTTATATAGATCAGAGGTCAACAACAAGGGCATTCATGATCATTTTTGGACAAAAAAATTTTTATTTGACTCAATATAAATAAATATATATTTTGAATAGTTTAACACCAAAATCAACTCTCTATGGCTAGCGGTTACAAATACCTTAAATGTTCATTCTGATAGGTAGGCTGTCGGTGCCAGGCAGAAATCGAAAAAGTATTGTAAGAGCAACCTATGGTTAAAATTTAGTGCCTTTGGAGGAACCAGAGCCCAATATTTATATTTTACTTTTTAGCCATAAGCAATATGTATACATTAAATCATTCCTATTTGGACCTTTAATTCGAAATATTTTGAAAACTACTTTCAGCTTTAGAAGTGCTTTCCAACGATACCTAATACAATACTATATAAGGATTGTCTAATTTTGACCTTTGACCTTATTTGGTCATGGGACATTTTTTAACAGCAAATAACTCCGTAACTATGATCTTTTAGGTATAGGTGTAATGGAGAAAAGTAATGAGTGTATGATTACCTTTCTAACGATACATGACATGACCATATTTTACATGGCACGTCGACCTTCTTGAAATTCAAAATGGCGGCCCTTTCACGCATGAATAAAATTGTGACCAAATTTTGTTTCAACCATGCACCCATATACACCTGTTTTTAAAAAGAGATTGAGTGTATGCAAAAGTACATTCGTGACTTAACTCAGCTCCTAGTGTTAAACATTGGTGGTTACTCCAAATATTGATATACATGCCATCATGTTGGGGATTTAATATTTCCACATTAATTATGTCATCATCTGATAGTGGATCAAATCAAAAGAATAGTTTAGTAACATTATCTACAGCCTCTTTTGTTGTAAATTGCACTGAAGCTTTATTATTTGCAAAATTTACTATGTAAGAGTGGCATTATTATTATTATTACCATATGGTATTACCTGTGGTCTAGCAGTACTGTGACACTTGCCTTGATAGTAAAGGCTGCAGGTTCGAATTCTGCCAGAAATTCATACTGTTCAACTCCGCAAGTTTTTAGAGAGGAACCTACAGTAGAGGTGTAAACTTTTTCTTGCTCACCATGCCCAAACTCTACTGTACACTACTGTGTGTTATCAAACATGTATTATGACTATTTCAGTTTCTTGAGTGACTTTATTAAGCATGTAACTTACCATTCTTACTCAGATCCAATTGCTGTAAGAGTATCAAGCTAGCAATCCCACTCTGCACAGAATACAGTTCATTATCACTTACACTAAGCTTCCTCAGTTGTTGGCAATGAAACAGTGACTAAATATAAAAGCATACAGGATAATTTGTAAGGCAATATAAATAGAGCATGTAACAAATGACACATATCATCAATATCGCCAACGTCAATGTCATCGTCATAATAATAATAATAATAATAATAATAATAATAATAATAATAATAATAATAAAAATAACAAATAATTTTATTTATTAAAGGAAACTCATTTCAGTCTTATTACGAAGATTGGTCTTCCAAGAGACCATGTCCTTAAACTACTACAGCAAAAGAAAAACAAAAGAAAGTACTGGTAACTGGTAAACATTTTATTGTTCTACTTTATTTTAGATTAAAAAAACAAATACCAAGCCACAACTTCCATGAATGAAAACCAATTTCCAAATAATCTCGATATAATTTTCTAATACAGCTTTTAAATTTTGTTGCCAAAAGATGTAGCGTGCTAATTTTAAATAGCAAAAAGGCCTGAAAAGGGAAGAAAACTACAGTACTTTGACTCTGGTATTTTCACTTACTTGCTTATTTGTTTTAGAAGATACTTTATTTACCATTAATTTACCATTTACCATACTTTATCATTAATAAATAAACAAAGGGCAACACTCACTACTGTAAGATCCTTGATGTTGTTTGAGTCGAGGTAAAGTTCTTCTAATGATAACTCAAAGTCATATACCTCCTCTGGTACTGAATGCAGGTTGCAATGTCTGAAGTCCAGCTCCTTGATATCTTCTTTAGTTCCACGCAGACATAGACATGACCTCAGCATCTTGCCACCATCTGATCAATACTGACCTAGAAAACAATCCCAAACTGCTTATCAGATACATAATATTCTACATGAAAACAATGCCTGGCCAGTGCAGACATAGGCTTACAATTAACCATATAATTTAGGTTAAATTTCAGAAAATAAAAGTTACAATATTTACCCACATTGAAGACAAAAAATAATTGTAGGCTAACAGAATTCAAAAACTGGATGAAAACATTTTTTTACGAAAAACCCATACTCCCACAACCCGAAGCAGCTTTGATTACACAGTGTGTATCGCAGTAACTATGCAGCCATTTTGTTTTGTTGAATATTTACCAGTAACCTATTCAACTGGTCGCCTTCGTTAAGTAGGATTTTACCACTGTGCAGGCGGGCGTGGTTTAACGAAGAACGACCAGTTTTTCCATGATAACATTTGAGTTAACCTGATGTGAAAGTTTACTGTAACTCCAAGTAGGGAGTTGTTATAACTCCCTGTTCAAAAAACAAAGAATACACATCGTAATAAATGTCGAACTATTGAGAATCCCAACACAATGGTGTGCATTACATTTTGATTTGAATTTTATTGGGTTCACTTTTTTAATCAATGCCACCCATCAAATTAGTGATTATGCACCCAGAATACAAATAAACTTTCAAAACAAAAAGATACTAAAGTATCTTAGTATTAGGTCAGGTCAAATGTTACAATTACCAGAAAAAGGTAAAATTAATTTACCATCCTTTTTCATACAGAAGTTAAGGGAAATAGAAAAATTTATTAGATTATCACTCCCTTTATTTTTTTCTTATTACTTATTTATTGGCTCCGAATTCGGCAGACTTCAAACTCTTTCAATTGATTAGATCCTTGATTAGATCAAACATTGGGATCGCCGTAAAGTTGAAAATGCATAGCCCATTCTTTGAACTTGTTACTGTCGCCAAAAATAAACAGCTCACTAGCTGTGGTTAATTATAGGCAACACTGCGGTCCATCCCTAAAGAAACTGCTCAGTGGGCTGATCTTATCGTTAATTCACAGCGTGAAGACTCGCCTGTTCCACAGCTGCGGCTAAAAATAGGCAACACCACAGTCCATCCCTAAAAAGACCCACCCAGTGGGCTGATCGGATCGTTAATTCACAGCATATAAGACACATGTTCCACATAGACTCTCGCTGCTAAAAATAACTTGTTACAAAATGCATTACTGTACAAGTGGGTGGTCTTTTTTGTGATGGGTGGGTTTGGTTGGATTGGTCGTTGTTGGGCAAAAACTAACATACAAAGACATCAAGAAAGAAAGTTTAGGCAAAGCCTGGCCTAGCTTGAGGTAAAGACCAAAGCCTAGGTGCCTATACCTACTATAATCTACAATTAGGGTGTTCCCTGCCCTTTGATGCTCGAGTAATGTCTGATTTTTTCACCAGAATAGGCCTAGTTTTGTAGGCCATTGGATCACAGGGCAGTTGTTTACATGCATCAGCCACTTCGAAAAACGATGTCATGTTCGTTCTGTTCATGCACACAGGAATCCCCAGGTAATCCCACAGCCCCTACCTCCAAAAAAAAAAAAAAAAAAAAACCACCTTCACCATTTTTTTTTAAATAGTGATAATCTAATAATTTGTTCTATGTACCCTAACACATTGTTACTGTATACAGTCTTGGCTATTGTACAGTAAAGGAGTTACAACTACTTTTAAATACTGTATAATGTATCTTTGAGCAACTCACATACTAACAATCACTAGTTTTAGTATTTTCTATGTGCCCTAACACATTGTTACTGTATACAGTCTTGGCTACTGTACAGTAAAGGAGTTACACCTACGTTTAAATACTGTATAATGTATCTTTGAGCAACTAACATACTAACAATCACTAGTATTAGTAAGTTAACATTTTTATTGGTTTACTTTATGAATACAATATACTATGCAATAGAAAAATGCCATTAATTGTTCTGTAGTCCTCGCATTTTTTTGTATTTTCGTCACGATGGTGGCAGCATTTTATGGGACAATGCAATTTACCGTATCTTTAGCAAGCAAAAGTTAAGATACAGCACCATATCACTAGCCACAGCGTTTTTTTTGTTTTTTTTTTTTAATTTCATACAAGTTTGTATCATTAGGCCTGGTGGGCATTTTGCTAGGCTAGCCTAAAATAAAACTAGTAGTAGTAGTACTGTAGCATAGGGCCTAGGCCTGGTTATTGTGGGCCCTACACACGCAAATGTATCGAAATGAACGTAAATATACGCCGTAGACCTATTTTACAGACGCTGAGAAGTGTGTGGAGTATTAGTCGTTCAATTCTCTGACTTTTTGACGATCTAGGCCTAGCCTAGGCTAGCCTTAAGTAACAAACTAGGCTAGTCTCTAGCTAGCTAGCCTAAGCCTACCTAGGCCCCCCTAGGCTAAGTCGTCCGAACCTAGGACTAGGCCTAATAATAAGGCTACGCCCCTTAGCTAGGCCTAGCCTAGGGCAGGACTAATAAAAAATATATGAGGCCTAACCTTCAGAAGCCTAGCCTACTTAATTAGTAGGTTAGGCTAGGTAGGACTGTAAGTCTATAGGCCTACCTAGCTTAGGCTCCCTACCAAGCCTATCCTAACCAGACCCATGTCCCAGACTCTAGGCCTAGGCCTAGGGGTTTCGGCCTAGGTAGGCCTACTTACCCATAATTTTGTGTTTAGTTTAGTCAGCTGGTCAGATCTATTTAACAACGAAATATCAATCGTGTTTCCGCCTAGTATAATCTCAATTTTTATGAATGTTGGTTCTATTAATGATTCAGCCAAACAGTAGATAGAGTATTCAAACTCCTCACGGCTCTGCTCACACGGGCGGTACGAGGATGACGCTTGGCTCTTCCAAAGATACTAGAAATACAAGATAGAGTTCTCGCATTGTAAAAATGAGGCGGAAATCGTGCCAAACGTGGGCGGCGCCCTTCTTTTTAACCATGCAAGTTTCCTATACTTCGTGCCCAACGTACAGGGCGCCCTTCTGTTGCTAAGTATATCCAGACGCAAAAGGCGCCCTTCCTTTTCCACTAATGGAGGAAAACTTTTTCACTAAGAGTGCGTCCGGCCATGCGATTATGCGCTGTATTGTTGTTTTATTCTTTACTGATTCATGATTATGCTTTAATTGTTTTGTGTATTATTTGGATAATAGCAACGATTTCTACCGCCACCAAGGAGGTTATGTATTCACCGATGTCACTGTCTGGGTGTCTATTCCAGTTTGTTTTAATATCTAGTATCTTTGTTGAGAATTAATAATAAAATACGCGACGACTTGGTAACGAAAGTTTGGCACAAGTTTTTTTTAGATCCAGCTGTAGGGGGCGTCCCATTTGTCGTATTCCCACCATGCATTTCGGTGGAACACTTTTTTTGTGTGGAGAACTCTATCTTGCCGTATTTCTAGTATCTTTGGCTCTTCTCTTTCTTTATTTTTGTGGCAGCCGGAACTATAGAGGGAGCAAATGCAAACAAAAGAACAGAAGGTGGTAAAGATTGGTAAAGCAGCAAAGATAATACTGTATATAGCAGAAGATAGAGCAGGGGCGGATTGCTATAAAACGGTCTTAACTGGTAGTCTTAACTCCTCGAATAAAGCCGGGTTTATCACTTAGACGGTCTTACTAAAGTCATACCTCTAAGACCATTGCTATAAAACAGTCTTTTCTAAGACCGCTTTGAGTATTGAAATGCAAACAAGCACTCCCTGGTAACGTAAAATTGAGGGCGACGTCATGCGTGCTCGACGCACGCAAATGTATCGAAATGAACGTAAATATACGCCGTAGACCTATTTTTACAGACGCTGAGAAGTGTGTGGAGTATTAGTCGTTCAATTCTCCGACTTTGACGATCTAGGCCTAGGTCTTGCCATTGCACTGTTGAATTTATCAGCAGAACGTCATGATGGAAATTATTTAAGACCGTTTTAAGCCTCCGAGTAGGCCTGGAGTAGAAGAAGAATAGGAAGAGGAAGAGGAGGAAGAAGAAGAATAGCTTTTTTTTTGTTTTATAATAATAAATGTGCTGAGTATATTAATATTGCTTGTGTGATGAGGGTGTTTTTTTTATATATATCTTTCGGTGTTTAAACATGCCAATTCTCAGAAAATATTTTCTAATTTTATTATATTACCATCTTTTTATTACATAGATCTTTTTCAAAACATAACTGCTTTTAAAACATTATATAGACCCATTAAACACAAAAACTGCTCTGGCTTCGGGGGCTTCGCCCCCGGCCCCACCGTGGCCCTTAGGCAGGCCCCTGGACTACACGCCCAGAGAACCCCCCTTTGAAATGACCTGGCTACGGGCCTGCACAAATGCTTTGTGGGTGCAACTGACACCTCGAAAGATCAACGTTAAAGTGCTACAAATGAAATATATGCATGAACAAAACTTTCTAACATTTCGTGGATGGGACTTTACCGCTCTTCCAGAATTTTTAGTTCAAAAGGTTCGAACGACTGCCTGAATTTTATTGCTTGCTTCCCCCTTTTTTGCAGGGAAACTGGTGTATGTTATGCAGGGTTAGCGGAACCTCACTGTTAATATTCTTATTCTTAAGGTATTGTTTCTGTCTCTTATACACATCTAGATGTGTATAAGAGACAGGAGCAAGCCCCCGACTAGATCACGTGATGATGAGACTAGATGCGAAAATGGCTTTTTCGTATCGATGACGTCATCGGGGTCGATGACGTCATCGGGGTCAAATGATGTTAAATGAGGTCATAGGTCAAATGATGTTAAATGAGGTCATCGGGGTCATCGGGGGTCACGTGATGTCATCGATAGGTTGTTTGCAAAAAGTTGGGTAATGGTCGGGAAATTTAATGTGTTAAATGCCTATGGCCGGGGATTTTAATGTATTAATAATGTCTTTGGCCGGGGAATCTTAAATGATGTCATCGAGGTCATATGTCATATGTTATCATAGATAGGTCGTTTGCAAAAAGTTGTGTAATGGTCGGGAAATTTAATGTGTATAAATGCCTATGGTCGGGAAATCTTAAATGATGTCATCGAGGTCATATGTCATAGTATGTCATATGTCATAATATGTCATATGATATCATAGATAGGTCGTTTGCAAAAATGCTTATGGTCGGGAAATTTAATGTGTATTAATAGTGTATTAATGTCTTTGGCCGGGAATACTCATAAACACCCTACTCTGGGCTTTAAAATTTAAGACGGCTTACTGGTTAGACCGCGGTATAGCAATGGTCTATAATTATAGACCAGTAGTGACGTCACGATTATAGCCGGCTAACCGTTAAGACCGTCTAAAGACCCCTTATAGCAATCCGCCCCTGCTTCTCATATAGTGGAACATCCGTTCACAGGCATTGTGGGTACACAATTTTTCTTTCCGTACGGAAAGATTTACATGAAACTCCACTCGGGCCGTCTCGACTAAATCGACTCGAAAATCTCCTATTGCAGAATTTAGGAGGTCAAAGGGTCATGAACAGATAAACGTCTACAAAACAACTTCTGAGAGAACGTCGCTGTCTGATTTTTAAAAAATACATTGATGTTACCATGCTAATACTAATGGGTCGTTTAAAATTACTTATAGGCTAATATTTGATTGAGCTGCACGAGTAGGCCTAATGAAAAGTGTAATTATTTGAACTTGAGTTACATACTGTGACGATTTTTATTTTTTTAGTTAGGTCTGGTTTTGCATAATTACCTAGGTGCATAATTACCCAGGCCTACTAAAAACTATACGCTTTCAGGGGAAGCACAAAGAGGAAGAAATACGCGTTTCTTCAAATGAAATAGGGTGACAGTTATTTTCAAATTAACAGAAGAGCTGAGAATAGGCACCTCTAAAATACTGGATGCCATAAGACCTGGAAAAATGGCAGAGCACCAATGAATGTATAAGTGAGGCCTAACCTAGTTATTAACATTAGGCATAGTAAAGTATCTGCAGGTTCTTGATTGCAAGGCTTAGACTAAGTTAATTAATGCCGACATGATTATTATTATTACTATTAGGCCTACTATTATTCATTATTATTAATTATTATGTTACTAAAACCTACTTTAAGGGGAACTTAGGCAATGGAGAAATTAGAGAACAATTAAAAAACGATGTTAAGGGGAAATAACACAAAAGATATTCCCTTGGACTAGTTATTAATTATAGGCCTAGTAAATATTATCTGTAGGTTCTTGAAGGCTTAGGCCAAGTTAATTGATGCTGAAATGATGATTATTATTATTATTATTATTATTATTATTATTATTATTATTATTATTATTATTATTGATATTATTATTATTACTGTTATTATTATTATTATTATCATTATTTAATATTAATTACATTACAAGGATAGTTTGGCCAAGTTCAATAATGCCGGAATTATTTTATTTATTATTATTTAATAATATTTCTCTTATGCACTCTATTTTTATTCCATGCTTCAATTTTTTCCCCAATTTCAATCAACGTCATGTGAAGCGTGACTGTTGGTGTCAGCCTAGGACCCTAGGGACTTTTTAGGCCTAGTTTAGGGAGGGGCCTAGGTAGGACTTAACTCAGCCTGTAGTTAGGCCTATATAGTTTATCCTCTTTCGCTCTAGACTTAATTTGGTATTACTACCTATCTACACTTTTTAAAAGGGGTACTATCTTTTGTTGTTGTAGATATTATACTAACATTTAATAACATACAAGAAGGTCACAGTTAGTTTACACGTACCGTTCCATAAATCCGTAATTTCATAGGACTACCGTAGGTGAACTTTAGACAGAGCAGTACTGTAATAGAAACTCGAGCGTCACGACATGCATTGCGAAGTGTCTGCTCTTGTTCCTCGTATCGAACTCGAGTCGAGTCAATCCGAGATGGCCCGAGTGAAGTTTCATGCAAATGTTTCGTACGGAAAAAAAAAATTCCGGAAACCCTGCGTCTAGCAGCCACGAGGCAGGGCCGGCGGAACGTTTTTCAAAGTGGGGGGGGGGGG